GGAGCCCCAGAATGACTGGGAAAAGAGGTGACGCAATGGCATCTAGGCGGAGGAACTCCTTGTGCTGATTGGCGATTGTGGTAGCGATAAGGGGGGTCTCCTGATTAACCACTCCAGATTTAATCTGGGAGCCATCTGCCAAAAATATGTTAAGACCCCTCTTTCTGGGCTGAAGGGGAATCTCCTGCCGGTGGGCGAAGTCTACATCCAGAAAACAACTGCACGCCCCCGAGTCAACTATGGCTGTCACCTCCACGATCCTTTCTGGGAGCTGAAAGGAGAGGGGGACAACCAAGTACTGGGAGGGACTGATATTGCCAATAGAAAGGGAAGAAAAAGAGGTTGACTTACTCATTTTCAGAGGGCAGGATCGCACCATATGACTGGCTTCGCCGCAGTAAAGGCAGAGGTTCAGGGATCTTCTCCGCTGGTGTTCCTCGGGTGATAATTTAGGCCGAGCCAGACCCAGCTGCATTGGTTCCTGAGTGTCTCCGGACGGTGGGCTCTGAGTATTCAGTCTGGTTAGTGGACCGGGCCCTTGGACCGGAGTCCATGTATTTCCGCGACCCTGACCGGACCTCTCACATCTGCGTTCCCGCAGTCTCCGGTCGATTTGAATTGTCAGCGTAATAAGGTCTTCTAAGGACTCGGGTACCCCTACTCGGGCCAGCTCATCTTTCAGGGATTCTGAAAGACCCATACGGAACTGGTGCCACAGAGCAACCTCGTTCCAGCGTGTGTCCCCCACCCAACGTCTAAATTCTGAGGCATACTCCTCCGCCGCCCTGCGGCCCTGTCTAAGCGTGTATAGCGTTGCTTCGGCGGAGGCTGCCCGCTGTGGGTCATCGTACAAGGTGGCCATTGCCCCAAAAAAGTCATTTACCGTCCCCAGGTGAGGGTCACGGTTTTCCCTTAACCGATGGGCCCAGTCCTGGGGTTCGTCCTGTAATAGGGAGATGATAAATCCCACTTTAACCGATTCAGTCACCAAGGTGCGGGGTTGTAACTCAAAAAATAGGAGGCATGAATCACGAAAAGACCGGAAGCGAGTGCGGTCTCCGCGCGAAAACGTTCCGGCAAGGGTACTCGGGGTTCTGCCATAGCAGGTGAAGCAGACACCCCTGTGGCCGGCTCAGCAGCCTCTCCAGCTGGAGGCGCAGAGTCAGAGGCCTGTGGGGTAGGATCAGATACCGGGAGGGTCTGGAAGCGGTTTTCCAGATGCATGCACTTGTCCTGCAAGGCCGCTATACCCTGTGTCAGGGCCGAAAGGTGCCTGCAAATCTCTTCCAGCGGGGCGGACCCTCCTCCAGGCTCAGTCATGGCCTTCTGGTACTGTAAGGGACCGCCTGGCGGTACCACTAGCGCTCCACTGATTAGGCGCTCCCAGGGCACGGAGTCTAAGCCCCAGGGTACTTGTTCACCAGAGCCCCTGATGGTGGGGATGGACTTGGAGTACCCGGAGACCAGGTCGTGGCTCCTGAGTACGCCTGTCAGTGGTAGGGGTATTCGCCAGGGGCTCCCACGGGGAAGAGCCTGATGTGAGGAGGTCGGGAGACCCCGGAGGGATGGATGCATGGATGGATGAGCAGGTGCAAGGTCAGACAAGCCCGGTCGGTAACAGTGGGGTCGGTGCGGTACAAAGCAGTGGGCAGAGAATAGTCGGGTCACACGCCAGGTCAGCAACAGGAGGTCAGATCTAGTAAGGGGCATCCAGGAGAGAGGTCAGGCAAGCCAGGGGTCAGAGTGGGAGAATACAGCAAGGGTCAGGTCCAATCCGGGTCAGCAACTTACAGGAAACAGGATCACAGGTACAGGTATGCAGAAGAGACCAGAAGGCACTGAATGACAGCTCAGGGCCGTTTAAATATCGCGCCCTGCGCTGTCATTGGTGCCCGGTGCGCGACCGACACCCATCTATAATTTACCACATGCCACAGCCAAAATTTGTTGCATCAAATTTAATGCATCTTGTTGAGTTGACAAGTGGCACCACCTGTCATACTCGGCCATTCAAATCATGGGGCCAAGCAGCAAGTATTTGGTGAATTTTTGGCACAAAAAAAAAAAAACAACAGACATTAACCGTTTCAATACCGTGTAATTTTACACCTTCCTGCCCAGGCCAGTTTTCAGGTTTCAGCGCTCTCACACTTTGAATGACAATTGCGCGGTCATACAACATTGTACCCAAACTAAAATTTGATCATTTTCTTCATACAACTAGTGCTTTCTTTTGGTGGTATTTAATCACCGCTGGGGTTTTTATTTTTTGCTAAATTAACAAAAAAAGACCAACAATTTTGAAAAAAAAACACATTTTTCTTTGTTTCTGTTATAAAAGTTTACAAATAAATAATTGTTCTTCATAAATTTAGGCCGAGATGTATTCTGCTACATGTCTTTGGTGAAAATAACCCAAATTAGGATGTATTTTTTAGTTTGTAGGAAAGTTATAGAGTTCACAAACTATGGTATAGATCTGAATATTGATCAATCCTGAAGTACTGACAGCCAATCTAATATCTTGAGGTCCAAGAATGTCAGAACAGTACAGATATCCCCCAAATGACCCCTTTTTGCAGAGTAGACAGTCCGACATACTTCATAAGAGGCATGGCTAGTTTTTTGAAGTTGTATTTTTTTGTCATAATTTTTCGGAAAATGAAAAAATTAAAAAAATTATTTTCACTATTTTTTTTTTTACATACTGTCACCAGTGCAGTACAGCGTCATCATATAACTGGCATGGCGGTGAACAGTGACACTGACTGGTGACAGTATGAAAAAAAATATATATATTTTTTTTTAAATTTGTTTTTATTTTTTTATTATATTTAATTTTTTATTACATTTTTTTTTATTTTTTTTAAGATTTTTTTTCATATTTTACTATGACCAAAATAGTACAATGTTACCATAGTAACACTGTACTACTTTGGGGAAGTGATCAGTATTTTTTTTTTTTTTTTTTTTTTTTACACACAATTTGCTTATAGCAAAGAATTACTAATTGCTATAAGCAAGCATTTACCTGAATGAAATCGATTCGTTCAGCTTTTTTCTTTTTTTTTTTTTTTTTTTTTTTTGTGCTTAGCTGTGATTTGGTCACAGCTAATCACATGACATGTGCATGTGATTAGCTGTGGCCATTCACAGCTAGGCACTTGTATACAATGGATGGCATCATGAATGAAGCCATCCATGTATACAACTGTCATGTGACCTGCTGTGATTGGTCACAGCAGGTCACATGGTACCGGCAACGGGAGCCGGTACTCGGATCTGTCATCGGCCGTGTCCGAGGTGCACGGGCGGTGACAGATCGCACTGCTGCGTCGCTCTGCAACCGCGCAAACCGCGCATGTGCGGGAGCACGCCAAATGGCGTGCACCCGGAAAGCTGCAGCGCTTTTCAAGCCGCCAAACGGCCATTGGCCGGGCGGCTAATGGTTAAGGAGGTGTCAGTATTGCCTCCTGAAAACCAGATTGTTTTTCAGAGACTGACCAATAGGCTACATTTGTTACAGGCCATCCCGCCCAATGCCTTTTGTTGCAGTCGGGACATTGTAAGGGGACAGGAGCTGGTCAGGAACATCTCCATCACATTGATATATAATGTAGTGAAAGAGTTCTGCTCAATCAGCACTCTTCCCACTTAAAAATACAAATAAAACCCATCCAGAAGGTCTACACCAGGATACCAATATTAAATAACATGCCATAAACAAACCGAATGTATATATAGTTCAGCATATTAAATAATTTTAGCTAGCAAAAAGTCTAAAGCCATAAATATAAAAGACATGGCGAAAGCATGCTAAAAAAACATATTTGTATAATAAAATGCTGAATAAATGAATCAGAAATGAAAATACTAAATATACAGGAAAAAAAGGGTAGTTAGAATTGCAAAAATTTTTTTAAAAACCATATTGTATATGTAGAAATAAAATAAAATTAAATAAAAATTAAAAAAAAAACACTAAAACAGACACGGGAACAGAAATACATATTCAGCTATTAATAATAAAGCAATTTTGATTTGACCCCACGTTTGTTCCAAATGGACTATAGGTTTGAAGCTCATAAATGTGAGTTTCAAGATGAGAAATTTCTCTCCTGCAGTTGCCACCTCGCCAGTGCCAGGAAATTTGTCTATGCCAATAATCTTTGTGGGATGTTGGATTGTTCTTATGATGGGAAGCACAGTGTCAAGAAGGCTATAACCCTTGAAACCCTTTCTAATATTGTTAATGTCTTCACTGATTCTCTCATAGAGAGCTTGTGTGGTCCTTCCTACATATTATAACCCACATGGGCATTGAAAATATACACTACCAAGCTTGTGGAACAAGAAATAAATTATCTGATGTTGTAAGTTGTGTGTGTAAATGTTGTTGTAGATGACCAGTCAACATTTTTATTTTGAGGTTGTGTTGAATTTGTTTTTTTCACTAATAAAGATTCATGCATCACGTGATCAAAAGCAAAAAAAAAAAAAGAAAGAGGGATGAAAAGAGGTGTAGACGTAACAACTGTGGATTGGGAAAGGGGAAAGCAGCGTGACAACTGTGAATGGAGGAAGGGGGATACAGAGGTGACAACTGTGGATGTAGAAAGATGGATGCAAAGGCAAAAACTGGATGTAGGAAGGGTGATGCAGAGGTGACAATTTTGGATAGAGGTAGGGGGAATGCAGAGGTAACAGCTGTGAATGGAGAAAGAGGTATGCAGAGCTGATGTCATGTACCTTGGTTGAAGGCCGAGTTGACAAGAAGGCTTCCCTTGTGGCTCTGGTCCGAGCACCCCTGAATGTGATGACAGAGGTACAAGGTTCAAAGAAGCACAGGCGCCGATAGCAGGTGATTGCCATGGTCAGGGATGTAGTCAAGGTGAGCCAGGTCATACACAGAGAGACAGCAGCATGGTCAGGAGGCAGGCTGGGCTCAGTATCAAGTTAGCAAGCAGAGTGAGGTCCAGTAGCAAGCCAAGCTCAGCACCAAGAGATCAGGCAGAAAATAGTCAGAGGTAAGCCAAGGTCAGCACCAGGAGATCAGGCAGAGAGTAGTCTAAGGCAAGCCGAGGTCAGAATCCGGAATTCATAGAGCAAGGTCAGGAGCAAGCCGGGTCATCAATGGAAGATCAGTCAGTACAAGCAGGAACGCAGGAACATGGGTCACAGGAAGCTGAAGAACTTCCAGCAATTAGTATACAGCAGAGTCTCCTTTAAATAGGCAGCTTAGCATTAATGCGGGAAAACGTGCACGCCAATGCGTGATGGCGCATAGAAATGTGCCTATGTGTCAGTGCACACTGGATATTAGCCTGGGCTTGTCTGTGTGCTGATACACGTGAATGAGCATTAGCTGCATGGGAATTAGCATTAGCTGCATGGGAATTAGCATTAGTTGAAGAAGAATTCGCATTAGCTGCACTAGTTTCCTGACAGGTGACAACTGTTGATGGAGAAAAACCGTGAGAATAAAAAGAAGATGGGTATATAGTATGCCTCCCCCCACTTTTGTTACATCATCCCCAGCTCAGACAGTTTAGATCTGGCCCTGCTGGTCAACCTGCTGTATTTTATAGCACAAAACCAAATTCAACTGGATTGACTTCCGTTATAAGAAACTTGAGTGCAAAATGTGCTGAAATGATGGTACCCTTGGAGTGGAAAAATAACTGGCATGAATATACAGTATTTAAAGAATTGTCAAATAATGAGGTATCCAGTTTTTTCCTAAAATGTTCACAGCAGCCCACTTCTTTAAAAACAAATTGGAATTTTGACATACCAGTAAATTCCATACCAGTAAAGATGACAGCTTAGAGTACCTTGCAGCCAAAGTTTGCATCAGCAGAGACCTGAACATTCTCCTGGTAAAACTTTGAAAACGTATGAACAGAAGACCAAACAGCAGCCTTGCAAACCTGCAAAATGGATGCTTGATGCTGAAAGGCCCAAGAAACACCTACAGATCTACTGAAATGAGCCCTAATAGGGAAGGGAATTATTCCTTGAGGGAATAAGTCCTAGAAATGAGCAGCCTTAATCACCTAGCAATGGTAGAGGAAGAAACAAGATGACTCTAACCACACTGACCACATTCGGCAGTGCAGTGAAATCTCCTAGGCATATTTGAGAACAGGACCTAGGGAAGATAGGACAATATCCCAAATGAGGTGAAAGGAAGAAACTACCTTGGGACAGAAGAAGGATCTGGGACTCATATTCTATACAAGACAATAAAAGAGTCCTTGCAAGAAAGAGCCACCAACTTTGAGACAGGAGGTAAGGGCCACCAAATGTTACCTTATTCGTGAGATCTGCCAATAGGAGATTGTTGAGGTGCCTGCTTTTCAACCTGCCAAAGTAGGCCACCAGTTGCAGTGGTAAATATATACAATTTGCAAGCAGTAGATTTTCTCACCATGAGCAAGGTATGTGTTAGGGATCCAGGTATGACCAGAAATGTGTGGACTGACACAGGGAACAGCAGGCTTCAGAAATGAAATAATAATAGAATTTATTAAGAGCCACAACAAAATAAACAAACGCAGTGCAAACAAAACCAAACCTTAAACAAATATAAATAAGAACAAGTGTCGTCAGGGCTGGAGAGGTGGAGTGGTCAGGCAGGCCGGGTCAGGAACAATCGGGCAGACAAGGTACAACAGGAGGAGGCAGGAGAATGGTCAGGAATAGCCGGGGTCGGTGCAGGCGGAGTTCGATCAGTGTCAGGGTCAAGCAGAGAATCCAGGCAGGCAGACGACAGGTACAGGGGCTCATGGGAAACAAACACCAAGGCACTGATTGCAGGCCTGGTCCTGCTTAAATAGACCTCCTGCAATCAGCCTCTGGTGATGGCTTGATTGCAGGAGTGAGACCCTGGCTGCTGAAAGCACCCTCTGGTAGGAGCTGGTACTGCAGCCCACAGAGCAAGTGAGCCACAGCACCACCAGTGGTGAGTCCATTCTTGACAGTGTGTGGAGAGGTTGTGCTGCTCTGTGCTCTGCTGAGCTCCAGGAAGACCCGAGAAGCCTGGGGATAAAGTGCCCTGCCCAGCCCAGGAAGGATGGTGGATCCTGGGCCTGGGTCCAGCGAGGGGAAGGCCCTGGAGGGGCCTAGTACCGGTCTCTCTTTTCCACCGGTAGAGGACCTGGGATGGCCCCTAGGTAGGGGGAAGCTTACTCTGCCTACCGGGACCATGTGGCTGCTCGGGCCAGGTTAGTAGAGAAGGAGGAAGCCAAGCTCCAGAAGCTGACTCTGGAGCTAAAGAAGCTCCGGTCATCCTACGACCATGTATGGTCTACAAAACGGCAGGCCATGAAACCAGGCCTGGAGGCACTGGAATTACGTGTGTCCCAGCAGGGGAGGTATGTGGCGGCGCTGCAGCGCAAGAGCGGCGTCTTAAGTGAAAAGTATTTGAATGAAACGAGATTTAATGGCGCCTAAAATGGAAGACAGTGTGGTCGCGGGATCGTCAAAGTCCCTTCCCCTGGGCAGCAGCCTGTGGCTTTGGGGACCCAGGTGGAGGAGGCGGAGTCGGCAGGCGGGTTGCGGCGTTCGTGGCAGAGGCGGTGCCGGAACTGCGTGGAGCCGACTTCCGGTTTACGTCCGAGGACTCGGAGGAAGAAGCTGGAAGTGACGTCATCCCCCGCAAGCCGGCCAAGCCGGTGGTGAAAGATCGTGCCGCCTTTGTCATGCTGCAGCGCATCCCCAAGGACGTGCTGGCAAAGGCAGGGGAGCCGCTGTCTATACAGAAGGAGAAGGACTCTGCTGAGTGTGTTGGTGAGATGGCTGTGGACACTGGGGTAGTGGGTATAATGCCTGTAAATTTGTCTGAGGTGCAGGTTTGCCCTACAGTCCTGACTAAGGGTGTTTCCCCTCCAGTGGTGGTCCCGCTAGGCCCCGCCCCTTCGGGGGCATGGTGGTCTCTGGTGTGCAACCAGCAGGTCCCCCGGTTTCTCCTCAGGGGGCTCCGGGTTCTCAGGTCCAGGCTCCTGTGGGACAGGCTCAGGTGGGTTCTCCTGCTGGTGTGGGTGGTCCCCAGCCCCGGGCTACCCCAGGTCCTGGCCCATCTGCGTCTGCCCCTTCAGTTGCTGCTGCTGGTGGGGCAGCTTCCTCTGGTCATCCTCCCTCAGTGAGTGCCCCTGGGGCTAGATCGGGGCTCAGTTACTCCGCTGCTGTTAGGGGAGGTCAGGGGTCAGTGGGATCGGCCCGGGCAAGGGCGGGTAATCTACCCACTTCCGCCGCGAGGCGAAATGTTGTTCAGCTCAAATGGTCAGAGAAGGGTCCCCCCCTTAGCAGGAGAGAGGTCATAGACTGGATACTAGAGATGGGCTTCCATGCCTCGGATATTTTTGCGTTTATTGCTCGAGTTGGTACTGGAGAATATGACGTGTCCTTTATGCGGCCGGAATTGTTGGACCTCTTCTGGCAGAGGTATGAGGCCACCTTTGTCACCAGCCCTAGGTGGGGGGCCTTACCCCGAGGATCGTCTCTCGCTAGTCCCTGATTAAAAAAATAACGGTGCTGGTGAGAAATGATTCCATCCCAGCATCAGATATTGTGGTCTGGCTAAGTAGATATGGGGATGTGATGGGGCCCCTTGGGAAGATCAATGATGAGAGGGGAATTGTTAGGGATCCGGGTATGACCAGAGATGTGTGGACTGACACATGGAAACAGCAGGCTTCAAGTATGGTGAAATAATAATAAGATTTATTATTAGCTGCACAAAATAAACAAAGTGCAAACAAAACCAAACCTTAACTAATGCTAATATGTACAAGGCAGCAGGCAAAGGGTAGTCAGGTCACTCGCCGGGTTCGGTAATGGGGGTTCAGATCAGAATAGGGATGTCCAGAAGAGTAGTCAAATGAGCCAGAGGTCAGAGCAGGACAAGTCAGCAGAGGTCAGGATCAGGCAGGGTCGGCAACAAATCAGATAGGCAGAAGAACAGGAACACAGGATACAAGGTACAGGGGCTCATGGGAAACAAACACCAAGGCACTGATTGCAGGCCCGGTCCTGCTTAAATAGACCTCCTGCAATCAGCCTCAATCGGTGATGGCTTGATTGCAGAAGTGAGACCCTGGCTGCTAAAAGCACCCTCTGGTAGGATCTGGTACTGCAGCCCACAGAGCAAGTGAGCCACAGCACCACCAGTGGTGAGTCCATTCCTGACAGGAACATGGACAGGTGGGTGGACAACCACCGTCTGCTTAAAGGTGGTTGGAAATGTGCTCCAGCACATTCCCTCTTCCGCTTTTCTAGGAAAGGACCGCTTGATAATTTTTTATGCGGGTCAGCCGAGGGTCTGCTACCGGTGTGGGGGCAAGGGACATTTTGCGGCCGCCTGCCCCGTCATTAGATGTTCCCTGTGTCAGGAAATAGGACACCTGGCCAGGGACTGCAATGTTATCCGATGCAATCTCTGCGGGGAGCTTGGGCATTCGTACAACCAGTGCCCGGAGGCCCTCCACAACCTTCCAGTGGGGGAGCTTGAAGCAGAGTTGAATCGGATAGATGCTAAAGAGGCGGAGGCGGCGTTGGAGAGAGCGGCTTCGGCTGCTGTGGCGGCCCTTGAGAGGGAGGGGGAGGTTTCTGTGGCTCCTTCTGTCTCTGTCCCCCCTGTTTCGTCTACCCCTTTGAAGTCCCCTGTTGTTTCCCCTTGTGTGCCGGTTCCTCCTCCCAGGAGTAAGAAACAGCTGAGGGAAGCTGCTAAGGGGGCCAGGATGATTGAGGCTAGGTCTAGTCCCTCAGTGTCTGCTCCCCCCGTGCTCTTGCCGCTGCGGTGGAGTGGAAAGCCCGGTAGGGAGTCCCGGGAGTCCCAAGGTTCTGCTCCAGTAGGGGCTCAGGTGGAGGAGGGGTGGTCCCTGGTGGGTAGGCAGAATAAGCCAGTTTTGTCCCCAGCGGGGTCGGTGTCCTCTTTAGAGGTGGGGGATGTGGCCCTGGGGAATAGGCTTGGGGCTTTGTCGGGGGAGGAGGAGGGGTCAGGTGATCCTGCTTCCCCGATGGAGGACGAGGGTGCT